TCTCTCTCTCTCTCTCTCTCACTCTGCTTTGCCCAGTCTACATTCATCTCTTAGTCTGTAAATGTATATATGTATATATTAATATTTAGTGGGCTTATGGCCCATTCAAATGCAGCTCAGCGTATGTAGTGGTACATACACACCCACACACACACACACATACTTGCATTGAGTTTTGAGCTCGATTCATTACGTAATCTTGTAGACTAACAAGCAGTGCTCAATTCAGAGGATAGCTGCATACTCAGCCACCGACCCCGCCCCCCATCGGCCACCATTGGCCCCCATCAGCGGCGTCGCCTGGGCACTCGAAGCACTCGTTGTGCCACATTCATTGCAGTGTATTGATTGCGGCTCATAGCAGCACTCGCACTTAGAGAGCATTTTGTACATTTTTGTAAATAGCGTCCGTAGCTCGACACCAATGTTATTCCCCCTCCAGCTCCAGCTCCGCCCCTTGCCCCATGCCCCTTGCCCCTTGCCCCTTGCCCCAGGCACTGTTTGTCCAGTTGCTCCAGAGCGCAATCGGACAAAGCGAATCTCATGCAAATCATATGCAAAACAGGAGCCACGAGACGAGACGTCGGGGTCGCCGCGGCCATTTGTCGGGCGATAAGTAATTTGTACAAACATTTGCGCAAACAAAACGCAGCCGGTCACGAGTCACCAGCCACGAATTGCTACTCGTGAAGGTGTGTAGTAGGAGTTGGAGCCACTGTTGGAGTTGGAGGTGGAGTTGGAGTTGGAGTTGGAGTCGGTAATCGCGTGACCGACAAGTTTTACACACTTGGCAACGTAATTGCTTATAAAACGTCGCCGTGCCGCAAAAGAGTGCCGATAACAGACCCAAACCGTTTATAACAATTATACGAGCCAAGCAGCCATTTGGGACCTGGCCGGACCGAGCCGAGCCGAGCTGGGCTGGGCTGGACTGGGGTTGACTGCGTGCACACTTTGCCAGCACTTGACCAATTAAGCGACAGGCGTGAGTGTGAAAAAGGCTGTCGAGCTGGTGGGCTGGCGATTCGGCTGCCCCGGCTCCAGCAGCTCAAGCAGCTCTCCCGGCTCCCCGCGGTGGGAGTGGGAGCGGGTATTGGCTAAATGTATAAGTCCGATACGTTAACGAGGCGCGGCAGTCTGAGATCTCTGCGCAGCGCACCGCTGCTCAGTACGGTGCTGGAGAGCACGCTCTCGCTGACCCGCATCCATCCGATTGCTTCGCTGGAGCTACC